AAAATGAACCGACCTTATCTCATTTTACCCCATGCAAGATTATTTCAAACAATGGAGAATATTTGAACACATAAGAAGATAAAATCAGTAGCTAAACCATCTTATCTATACTTGTAAGAAGGAATAGAAATCACATAATCAAGAAATTATTATTCTATCAAAGCAAACATGCTTGAGCTATTCTTGCTATGTGTGAATTAACAATGCACACTCATGCATATTTTTAATATATAGATTCAATTAAAAAAAATATATCTAAGGGAGGATAGAGGTTGAGTATTCTTACCTCAAGAGCTTTTGCAAACTATTCTTAATACTAGTTTTGAAATGGTGATCACCAAGCACTCTCTCCTCTTCCTCTCTGTTTCTCTCTTTTTCTCCTCTCTTTTTCTTTTTCCTCAGCAGTGTGGATATAAATGAAAGGACTGAAATAGTGTTCTATTTGTAGGATTTTGGAGGCAAATTTTTTTTCTTTTTTTTTTTTTTTCTTTTCTTCTTGATCGATACTATTTGTGTAGCAAAAAACTTTTTTCTCTATTTGTGTAGCAAAAATGCTTCAAACTTTTTTTTTTCTCTATCGATACTGAAGGGTAGCCAAATTCCTCTGCCGAAAAAAAAAAAAAAATCTGATTTCATTTTTTTTTTGGCGTGTACAAAAATAAAAATCAATGAATATATATAACCTAATCACTAGATATTTTTCTCTTTACTATTCTCTGATTAATTTAGTTACTATTTATTTAACTCATTTAGTTTCCACAACTATATTTAGATACAAAAATTTAATCACAGAAAGATAAATAATTTTATTTAAAAAAATTTAATATTAGTATTAATTATGATGTTGTTAACATTATAATTTAATAATTTAATAATCACTATTAATATACTTAATGTTGTTATTAACAAACTAATTAGTTGTTCGAAAATTCAGGTTCTTACAGTGAAAGCAAACGTGGTTGAGCATGGCTAGTCCTCAGGGGTAAAGAAAAAGCCACCGATAGGAAAAAAACTCAAAGTTAGGGGCAAGAGGCGGTGTCTCCAAAAGGCCAGTCTACAAGCCGTAGGAACCTACTTTTAGGTTCAATGGAAAGTGCTTCAATTGTGGAAGCGATGGGCATCGGATGGTTGATTGTTTCACACAAAAAAAAAAAGGCCTTACAACAAGTACCCTCCACAGAATAAGAATCGTGCCCACATGGTTGAAATAGAGGATCTATCATAATATGTGGATGACATGCATCTAGTAACTGTCATCTTCGAAGTGAACATGGTGGGGTCCAACCCGAAGGAGTGGTGGGTGGACACTAGGGCCACTCACCACATCTGTGCGGAGAAGAAGATGTTTACAACTTTCAAATTGGTTTCAAACGGTAAGAAGTTGTTCATGGGAAATTCTGCGACCTCAACTGTTGAGGGTAAAGGCAAGGTGGTCCTGAAGATGACTTCAGGAAAAAAACTAACTCTAAACGATGTCTTTTTTGTGTCGGACATTCGTAAGAACCATGTCTCGGGGTCGCTCTTAAGTAAGCATGGCTTCCGCATGGTGTTTGAGTCAAGTAAGGTCGTGTTGACCAAGAGCGGATGGGTCAATTGATATGCATAAAGCTAGGCTAGTTATCAAAGAATACAAGCAGTGAGAAGGCCTAAATTACTTTGATATGTATTCACATGTGACAAGGATTACATCCATTCGCATAGTGATTGCGATAGTCGCTTTACATGGTCTGGTGATACATCAAATGGATGTAAAGATAGCTTTCTTAAATGGAGATTTAGATGAAGAAATCTACATGGAACAACCTGAAGGGGTTTTCAGCTCTAGGGCAAAATAAGAAAGTCTGTAAGCTTGTCAAGTCATTATATGGTTTGAAGCAAGCTCCTAAACAATGGCATGAAAAGTTTGACAACGCTATGTTGTCAAATGGATTTAGAATCAATAAGTGTGACAAGTGCATATATGTTAAATGTCACGCCCCACACTTGCCCCTAAAAGTTCGGGCATGACCCATTCAGAAATAGACATATAACCCGGTATATATAGCATATAGGGCCTTATCGGAAGCACAAAATATTAAAAGAATACTAAACCAACAAACTCCATTGAGCTATTTCTAATATGCCAGGATCTCATACATCACATGCACCATAATGAGTCGATAAAGTCCAAAAATATTCCTTAGCAGTACTTATACACAAACACAAATACAGACCCAGTCCTATAATCGGGCATGTGTAAAACTATTAAAGTTATATACATTCAACCTTGGAAGGATAGGCAAGAAGTAAGCCAATTATCTCAATAAACTTCACAAAATAAGTGGCCTCGCAAGTGCCTGGATACACGAAGGTTGACAAAAGAAACCGGGCGTCATGGGTTAGGATTGACCACCTGGTTGGTTGCCTACAGAAACAGACACAACAGAGAGTGAGCCGGGCTCAGTGAATAGTAATACATAAATGAAACAATCCTCAACTTGAAACATGACATATATCAATACATATGGAAGTGCAGAGGTCACATAGTAGCCTGATTCTGTGTTCATCTTGTAACGGCCTTAGGCCCAGTCTTGAACATAACAGCTTGACATATCCCATCTTAAATCATAATGGCTTGAAGCCCTTGAACATGGTGGCATAATGCCCTTGAACATGGTGGCATGATGCCCTTAAACATGGCGGCACAAAGCCCTTAAACATGGCGGCATAAAGCCCTTAAATAGAGTGGCATTACGCCCTTGGATAATTTGGCATTAAGCCCTTGAATATACTTATACGAACTCAAGAGGTGTCTCACACGGATTCTAGAGGTGGCTCACGTCGTAGCACTTAGTTCCGTGTAGCACTTTGTTTCATATCATAACAACTTACATTGAATGGCCGTAGGCCCAGAGTCTTATAGAAGGAAGGTACTTTATCTTTCCCATTTCTTTCTTTACATACTTGGAACATACTTGAACATTAACATACATACTTGAAACATTAACATAGTTGCATACTTGAAACATTAATGAAAATCATTAGCCATATGTAAAGAAGTGAGATCAATCAAGCACCTCAGAAGAATGATAATATCTCTCCAAAACTAAAGAGACACCAATTCCCACCTTATGTATTGTGTATATGTATATAGTTTCTTTTTATACTCAAGTCTCCTTAGGGGCAATCCCTTTCAGAGTGGAAATAAACCAGCTATTCAAAGTATTAGAATTGATTTGAAACACAAACTATATTGGTTTAGGTTCAATTCTATTTTCATACGTGACTAAAGACTAGTTTGTAACCTTTGAAATATGGACACAGCATACAGATTCTAACATACATGTGCATTTATTATTATTATTTTCTTTTCTGTCTTCTTGTTTGACATAAAGTCTTTTTTTTTTTGTTTTTTTTTGGTAAGCTACAAACATACTCTGAGATTTATTTAAATTACAAATTACTCCCTGTGATTCTAAAAGTTACATTATGTCCCTAAGGTTTCTAATTTCATAACAAATAGGTCATTTTATTAATAAATCATCAAGTTAATTAAAAAATTTTAATAATGTTAAAATTTTATTTCAATTAATAATTCAGATAATTTTATTATTGTATAGGTGAACAGTTAAAGTTTTCACTTTTTCAATTAATTCTGTTAAATAAAAAATTATGACAGGGAGGTATTTGTAATTTTCCAAACCATAAGAGGAAATTCATATTTTTATGGAGTGTATTTGTAATTTATTCTTTTTTTTTTTATCAGCAAAAAAAACTTTATTGATGACAAAAACATGCATTTCATATAAAATTACATCAATAAAATGGTGAAAGTGAAGAGAGCATCAAAGGAAACTACCTCAATATGAGATTACATTTTATTTGAGATTACATCCCATACATTTCATATGAAATTATACCAATAAAGTCTATTTCTTTGACTTGGCCGCGAGTTCAAGATCATGCGTGGGATAATTCTTTTCTTGGGGTTTAAGCGGTCGTGAGGCATAGGCGATAACCCTTCCCCCTTGCATAAGCACGCACCCTAATCCTTTGTGGGACGCATCACTGTAAATTACAAACCCTTCGATGCCAGATGGTAAAGCCAAAACTAGAGCTGTGGTTAATTTCATCTTTAATTCCCGAAAATATAACAAAGAATGTGTATGAGGGTCGGGTTATTACACTCTTCCCCCCTTAAATAAGTTTGGTCCCCCAAACTTGTTTTACCTTAAGGTAGGAACATATGTGGATACTGATGCTGCATTTTCTCTTCTTTTTCCTAAGTTGCGTCGGTTCCGTAATGTTCTTGCCATTCCACTTTTACCATTGGAATTTCTCGGTTTCGTAATTGTTTCACTTGTCGATCCAAAATGCGGATTGGTTTTTCCTCATAAGTTAACTTATCATCTAGTTCAATTTGGTGATAATCAATAACATGAGACGGATCCGCAAGATACCCCCGAAGCATAGAGACATGAAACACATTATGTACTTGACTCATATATGGCGAAAGGGCAACCCGGTAAGCTACCAGACCCACCATTTCCCAAATTTGAAAGAGACCAACATAGCGGGGCGTTAACTTACCCATTTTCCTGAATCTTGGATGTCCTTTCATCGGAGTAACTTTTATAAAGACGTGACTGTCCACTTCAAATTCCAAATCTCTCCGTCGGTTATCTGTATAACTTTTTTGTCTACTTTGAGTCGTTTTTAATCTTTCCCGAATAACTTTAACTTTTTCAGTTGTCAACTGAACAATTTCAGGCCCTAGCAAGGATTTGTCTCTAACTTTAGCCAACATACGGGAGAACGACACGATCTTCCATACAAAGCTTCATAGGGTGCCATCGCAATACTTGAGTGGTAACTATTGTTGTATGCGAACTCTACCAGCGGTAAATGGGTTTCCCAACTTTCTTGAAACTCTAGCACATACATCCGGAGCATATCTTCCAGAGTTTGTATCGTTCTCTCGGATTGACCGTCAGTTTGAGGATGGAAAGCCGTGCTGAATTTTAATTCTGTACCCATGGCTTCTTGTAAACTTTGCCAGAATCTGGAAACAAATTCGGATCCCTATCCGATATAATCGAGACCGGTACACCATGCAGTCTTACAATTTCATTCACATAAATGACCGCCAGTTTATCTGCATTGTACTGAGTCTTCACTGGTAGAAAGTGGGCGGACTTAGTTAATCGGTCGACAATGACCCATATAGAATTCATACCCCGAGGTGTTCGTGGTAACCCCACAACAAAATCCATGGTTAGATGTTCCCACTTCCATTCCGGGATTGGAAGGGATTGTAATAATCCTGCTGGTCTTCGATGCTCCGCTTTCACTTGCTGACATTGCAAACACTTAGAGACGAATTCTACAATCTCCCTTTTCATGCTTGGCCACCAAAAATTTTGTTTCAAATCCCGGTACATTTTAGTACTTCCTGGATGCATGGAAAATCTTGAGGCGTGTGCTTCTTCCATCAATTTTCGTTTAAGTTCCAACACATTGGGGACACATATTCGATTTTGAAATTTGAGTACCGAATCCACCAAACTGAATCCCGATTTTGGTTTTGTCTCTAACTCTTCACATACTTTCTTTAGAATGTCATCCTCCATTTGATGTAACTTGATCTCTTCAAGTAAAGTCGGTTGAGCCATTACTGCTGCTAGTACTGTCTCCTGTCCATGTATTTTAAACTCCACACTCATTTTATCCAATTCACTCACCAATTCCTTTTGCTTCGTAAACAGGTTGGCCAAATCTCCCATATTTTTCCGACTAAGAGCATCTGCAACCGTGTTGGCCTTACCAGGATGATAATGGATCTGTAAATCGTAGTCTTTAATTAACTCTAACCACCGACGCTGCCTCATGTTCGATTCCTTCTGGGTAAAAAGGTACTTGAGACTTTTGTGGTCGGTGTAAACTTCACAGGTAGTACCATACAAATAGTGACGCCATATCTTTAAAGCAAAAACTACCACCGCGAGCTCAAGATCATGCGTGGGATAATTCTTTTCATGGAGTTTAAGCTGTCGTGAAGCATAGACGATAACTCTTCCACCTTGCATAAGCACACAACCTAATCCTTTATGGGACGCATCACTGTAAATTACAAACCCTTCGGTGCCAGACGGTAAAGCCAGAACTGGAGCTGTGGTTAACTTCATCTTCAATTCCTGGAAAGCAGATTCCCGCTCTTTTGACCATTCAAATGCAACTTCCTTTCGAGTCAATTGTGTAAGTGGCACAGCAATTTTGGAAAAATCTTGAACAAATCTCCTGTAATAGCCAACTAAGCACATAAAACTACGCACTTCGGTCACATTGGTAGGAGTCGGCCATTTCACAATCGCCTCAATTTTGTGTGGATCAACAGAAACTCCTTCCTTTGTGATAATATGCCCCAGAAATGCCACCTCGAGTAGCCAGAATTCACATTTCTTTAGCTTTGCATACAATTTCTTTTCCCGAAGGGTTTGAAGAATTAAGCGAAGATGGGTCTCATGAGCTTCCACATTCTTTGAATAAATGAGGATATCGTCAATAAAGACCACCACAAATTCATCCAAATAGGACTTAAAGATGCGGTTCATCAAATCCATTGGGGCGCTACTAACTCCAAAGGGCATAACCAAAAATTCATAATGACCGTACCGAGTTCGAAAAGCTGTCTTCTCAACATCATCAGCCTTGACTTTTAATTGATGGTATCCAGACCGTAGATCAATCTTAGAAAAGACCTGTGCCCCTTGAAGCTGATCAAATAGGTCATCGATTCTTGGCAATGGATACTTATTCTTGATTGTGACTTTGTTAAGTTCTCTGTAATCGATACAAAGCCGGAGTGTTCCATCATTCTTCTTTACAAACAAAACTGGTGCACCCTACGGAGATACACTCGGACGGATAAATCCTTTGTCCAGTAAATCTTGCAACTGCATTTTCAATTCTTTTATCTCAACTGGCGACATTCTATACGGAGTCTTAGAAATGGGTTGAGTTCCCGGTGCTACTTCAATTGTAAAGTCAATTTCACGGTCTATTAACTGCCCTGGTAATTCTTCTGGAAAGACGTTCGGAAATTCACAGACAACTGGGATCATGTCGGTATTCCCATTCACCACTTGCCCCTCTAGAACACTGCATAAATACCCCTGACACCCTTTCTGAATTAATTTATAAGCCCTTGCTGTAGAAATTAAATAAGGTGGAGAAGTCACTCCATGTCCCTGAAAAGGTAGACTCTGATTGTCCCGGACGGTGGAAACTGATTTGTTTAGTCAAACAATCTATAGTTGCACCATATTCACCCAACCAGTCCATTCCCAGAATAATATCAAAATAGGCCATATCAAGAGGTAACAGATTGGCATATACCCGGATATCCCCAAGTTAGAGTTCACAAGCAGCATATACAGAAATACAAATCATGGGCCTCCCAAAGGTGAAGACACACACAACATATAAGACAGTTTTTCTTCAGTTTTATCTAAATTAGGAGCAAATAGTTTCGACACAAAAGAGTGGGTGGAGCCAGAATCAAATAATACATGATCGAAATGACCGTGAACAATAAATGTACCTGACACCACTGTTGCCGCATTTTGCACATCTCCCGGAACCAATGCGAACACCCTGCCTTGTCTCGCAGTGTCTTTATTATTAGTAGGTTTAGCAGTTGTCTTGGTGTTGGAAGTTGGTGCAGACCTGTAACAAGCCCGAGGGGGACCTCGCTACAGCTCGGACTCGATTTTGTAGTCACGGTTCTAAGTCTGAACCAAAGAGTCTAAATCCGGCAAATCGTTTTGAGAAAACAGATTTTTGAAAGAAGTGCCAAACATGGACTGCTTTGCCAGATACAGAGTCGCCACCTAAATATTTTATTTTGGGAAATTTAGGAAACCCTGACTCGGTGCCAAAAGGCCACGTGTCCTTCATCACCAAAGTTGCCTCGGCTCGGGAACTTGGATACGATTGGGGAAGGTCACTTCGTGAGCACCCCCGCTCGCCCGATCAAAGATCGACCTCTACTAACCATGATATCTATTTTTGAAAACATTGTGAGTTCTTATTCTGGTTATTAGCCTAGGTTACTATGTGATGCGCACAGCATACAAGTATAGACTGGATCGCCTGAATTGGAACAAAACATTTCATGTTCGCTTTTTGAAAATGGTTTGCTACCCGCAGGTAGGCTTGAAACATTTGATGATTTATTCCAATTTAAGTAACCCAACCTTCACCCACAGGCATTTAGGCAGTTATATCACATAAGCATATAGCCTCATGGTAAGCATGCTTATTCATGGCAGTCACTCACACGCATGCAAGGATGCTAAAGCATAAAACTTACCGAGTACTCCAAGCCAAAATAGAAACTACATTAGAAATCATGCATGAATCCTGAGTATACAGAGATGCCTAATGAAACACATGCAAGAATGCAAACTATAGCGAGCTCGGCTATTCTAAATATGTCATATGGAATGCTACAGCTAACATGTATTCAATTTGAAATTGAAAATACAATGCAGTTAGTATGATGCACCGAGCCCGGTGTATGCAAAACAGATGAATGATGCAAACATGCTATCATACTGTATGCTAATTGAAATATGCCCTAATCTAACCATCATAAGCGGATAAATAAAAGGGAGAAAGACGTGGGGTTGGAAGACATACAACACACACACGCACACTTATTACAGTTGTGCCCTCGCGCAGAGGGTCCGAATAAATAATACAATTCCAAATGAAAGAATAGTACAGTCCAAATATTACAGTCCAAATAAAACACAAATTCCTAATTAATCAAATTAACTAAGAAAACTGTAAAACTGGCGTGCAAGCCAGGGACTGCCTTGCTTCTGATGAATGATGCACATTTGGGCTGTCTTGCGCGGAAATCCATGGCGATGCCACGATTAGCCTCTGTTTGCACTTTTTCTTGAAATGCGCGCCAAACTCCGGAAAGTTGCTGATTCTTGATTTGTGCTGCAACAGAGAGCAGGAAAGGGGCCTAACAATGTATTTTCACAAATATATGCATGCCTCGATCCTCGTGCCACCAATCACGCATACCGAGGCATGATGGCCGAGGAGTCGAATTGCACAATTCAATATAGGATGAAAGCACATGAAAACACAATAAAACCTACCTCCATCATAGATAATCCGGAGTGTCGGTGACTGGGGGAATTGAGACGCGTTCCGTCACTCGGAGTACGAAACGCACCTCGTTTCCCGTGCCTGGGCTAACTCCTATCCCGAACACGATGCAATATGCATGACATGCATGAAATGCGACTGAGATACAATCCTAACATACACAATGCTATGAAAATGAGATGCCTCGAAATGCGTGCACACGGGCACGTAAACCGAGAAAATGACAGAATGCGATCTAAGATACAACCTAGTATGCACTATGCTGTAAAAATGAGATGCCTCGAAATGCGTACACACGGGCATGCAAACCGAGAAAATGACAGAATGCGATCTAAGATACAATCTAGTTTGCACTATGCTGTAAAAATGAGATGCCTCGAAACGCATGCACACGGGCACGCAAACTGAGAAAATGACAGAATGCGATCTAAGATACAACCTAGTATGCACTATGCTTTAAAAATGAGATGCCTCGAAATGCGTGCACACGGACACGCAAACCGAGAAAATGACATACGCAATGCAAATGACAGAGAAATATGATATGGGCTTACACTAACATGAGAGAGACTCAGCCACACTCACATAAGAGGCCGGTGGATGAAAATGAAGTGCCTCGAAATGCGTGCACACGGGCACGCAAACCGAGGCAATGGCAT